CATCTGCCTGCCTCCTAGCTAGGTCAAGGCCCACTCCACTTACTTGCTGTTCCCTGTGCTTCAATCAAGGTACAAAAGATGAATATTATAACTCACTTCTAAAGCATGTTGTTATTATTTCTATACTATGCTATGCAAATCATATGGATGATATCTACTGTTTCTTTTGAGAAGAACTACATGATTGAGAAATTTACTAAAACATTTTTGCAATTTCTCAGGAATCACTTCTTCCTTTATGGGTGAATTGTGGTAACAGTGTTTATGTGGACCCACACTAACCAGCTGATATGGGTCAGAATAAGCTTCTTGGTAAAATGTTAGAATTTGGGATGAAGGTTGACTCAGAGATTAGATAGATCCCATAAGGATTGTGGTAATGACTACATTAACCACATTATACTTCATTTTGTCATTAGGCTGGTCTTCTCATTATACTAGCAATTGTTTGCAATTGATGAGAAATTGTAATGTTTTTGTACAAAAAAGTTAAGATTAAAATAAAATCTCAAATCTGTTAAATTGTTCAGTTTTGCTTTTCTGGCTTAAAACCTACAATTCCTTGGTCATTTCCTGACAATCTCCAGTCTAATGAATCCTGGTCCAAGTTGATCATTTAATTCTGATACTCTGATGCAATTCAGATCCTTTTTTGTATTTCATGTTTCATAACTAGAATAATGAGGGTTTCATACAGAAAGTAACTAAAATGACTTAGACAAATAGAAAAACTTTAATTTGCTAATTTTTCCATTGAAAGAGAAATTCAAGCATTTTACTTGGACTCATATGCCTCAAGCAATATGCTACAGTTTTTTTTTACTTTTTAGGAAAAATATATAGAAAACTACCATCTTACATATTAAGACCAGTGATTGTCTATACTTAACCTGACCCATGGAGGGCACTGTTGAGTAGCTGTCAAATAAACAGTTCTGTTTCTTTATCTAAGTATATACACTTAACAATGACACTGGCTTCTTCTATAAAGGAACATTCCAATATTACAAATAAATATATTTATTTTTAATGTTATGAGAATACCTTTTTTACTTTATATTACCTGCCTCCTTTCTTTTTATAAAAAAAGTTAGAAAAAAAGTTGTAAAATGCATCTGTTATCTAGTGCCACTACAGATTCCTTGCCATTGCCACTTGTCATCCAATGTAGTCATCCGTTCCAATTACTTTTTTCCAATCGCATGCTTCTCATAGAGACGCATTGGCACCCTAAGCGCAGGTTTGGCAATCACCATGCTTCAGCAATACATTTTTTTTATTTTTTTTTAAATGAATAGGAGCTATGAAAGTACTAGACACGTTATCCTGGTGAAGATGAAGACCATTGAAAGATAAGGGTCTCAAGAAGGAACAGAATCTATTGGCTGTTGATAGCCACCAGAGCCGTGGTCTAGGCAAAATGTAAATATTACTGATTCTATTTAATATAGCTAGACAAAATGTTGGTATCTATGTAACAAAAAAAATTAAGATTTGTGCCTAGCAATTTATACATATTTGCATATAAAAATGATTTACTATAAAAGGGCATTTTTTTCACTGAGACTATATGATTTCAGCTTTTTTAGGACATGTACGTTATCTGTCTGTCTACCTATGCTTATGCATACCTCTCTTTCCTTATTCAGTGAACTACAGATAGTAGAGGATTAGGAATGGTGTCATACAATGATGAATGAATTTGCTTCTGTGTGATGAATTCTATATCTCATAATATATGAGGAGTGAGGGGGTGGGGGAATTGGGGGGGGATAGGGGGGAAATCCATCAGTGGATTCAGCTACTGCCTAATGTGAGAAGGGCTACCTGCAGATCACCCCCCAAAAAAGTCTAGCAATTTGCAGTAAATCCAGAAACCTTTTTCAAAAGATTTCTACAAAACAATTTAATAATTTTATTATATGTCTTTTTACGTGTAGTACATTTTAATTATAGTGAACCTCAACTCATAATGCTTCTTCAACAATAAGTTCACAATGTTACACAATAGAGGCTCTCTGCTTCCAGGGTGTAAGAGATTTGGTTTCGTTCAGGAGGCCTGAATCTCTTGCATGTTGGAAAAGATTCTGGCCGGGGGTTTTACTTATAAACTTCACCTTTGCTTTTCTCAGATCAGTTTCAGCAGAAACATTTCCTCATCCTTGGCTTTGATTACCATACACTATTATAGCTCACTTTCGCTTCTCTCAGTATTCCAGTAATAGGTGATTCCCTAATTCAATGTTGGCCTAAGGCTTTCAGGTATCATTGTGTAAACGTAAGAGTGATACCTAGTGTTGGATTCAACAGCTTGAAGGAGTTGAAGTATATGGTGGGCACACTTGAAATTAATTGTGTTTCTTTTTTTTGTCATTCAAGAGTTTATTCAGTGAAAAGGTAACATACATACGTATGTCGGAGCAAAGGCATCAATATTTGAGTAGCATTGTGTATATATCATCAACATTAATAATAGCATGACGTCAAGAGGAAAAAACAAATCTTAGACATCCCATACATGAGTGCCACTGTCAACAAATTCTATAGAGAGGCTTTAGGGGACAGAATTAGATATGGTTAATGGAACAAGAAGGGATAGGAAAGTGAAGATTAGGTGAGCAGGTGGGCAGAGGAGAAATGGAGGAGAGTCCCCCCCCCAACCTCCCCTATCCGTCCACTCAATTATATACGTACATGTACTGTGAATAAGTGGTAATGTGTTAGTATACACTTCCCCAAATCAAGGGCTGGCACACACGAGGAGCGTATCCACACACACCCAGAGGCACCCCGCCTGAATCAGAACCAAGGACTAATAAAATAATTATTATTAAAGTGTCATTGCTATCCAAAAACCTCCTCAAATATATGCTTTCACAATTTGGACATCTGCAAAGGGGCATCTGAGCTAGGGGGCAGGGTGCTCAAGCCAAAAGAAATCTGGTCTACTCCCATTTGGAGGTGACCTTATGAAAGTATAAATTAGAGGAGGTTTTAGATAGCAATGTCACTTTAATAATAATTTTTATTTGATATAGCGTATGCATTGTGATTGTATACAACAAAGCACATCACTTTATTTAGTTTTGACAGTTTTTTTTTAATTTGTTTTTTATCACATTTATTTTGCGTTATATATATTCACGTCATATATACTCTTACAACAGATTAACCAAATACACTTTAGTTTATTTAGCACTAGCACTATTTAATTTGTCTCCCATGTTAAAATGAGTGTAGGGCTACCGTGACGTAGTGGTGGGCTTAAAGGACCACTATAGTGCCAGGAAAACATACTTGTTTTCCTGGCACTATAGTATAGTGCCCTGAGGGTGCCCCCACCCTCCGGGTCCCACTCCTGTGGCGATGAAGGGGGAGGAAGGGGTTAATCTTTTTTCCAGCACCGGGCTCCCTCAGCGCTGGGACTCTCCTCCCTCTTCTTCCGTCAACGGCTGAATGCGCATGTGCGGCAAGAGCCGCGCGCGCATTCAGCCAGTCTCATAGGAAAGCATTATCAATGCTTTCCTATGGACGCTGGCGTCTTCTCACTGTGAAAATCACAGTGAGAAGCGCGGAAGCGCCTCTAGCGGCTGTCAATGAGACAGCCACTAGAGGCTGGATTAACCCATAGGTAAACATAGCAGTTTCTCTGAAACATAGCAGTTTCTCTGAAACTGCTATGTTTACTGCAAAAAGGGTTAAACCTAGCTGGACCTGGCACCCAGACCACTCCATTAAGCTGGAGTGGTCTGGGTGCCTATAGTGGTCCTTTAACACGATCGCCAAAAAAATCTCTATATTTGTTAATTTATTTATTTATTTATAAAATATTTATTTATAAAATATTTTACCAGGAAAGATACATTGAGATTTCTCTCGTTTTCAAGTATGTCCTGGGTTTGCTGAGATACGTGATTTTAAGTAGCCTTGTAAAATGTAACACTGTTTTTTTGTGTGTGCTGTTCCTTAATTTGTTCTCAATGGGAGCAACACTGCTAAAAATGCATGTTCCAGTGGTGCCACCAATTCCCCCTTTTTTGACAGGGCACACAGATCACACAAAGCAAAACACACGTATTATTCACTGATGCACATATAACAAAACTCCCAGATATGAACAGATGTAAATCCACCCAACACTGTATAATGCATTTTTACTTTACATTTTCATGCCTGTTTGTTACGTATGGTTTTAGTCTGTTGCAAGGTATTTGATGTTGGATTACATTTAAAGAGGAACTGTCACTTCTCTGGAATTTACACCATTGAATTCATCATTAAAAGCAACGTATAACTTTTGTTAATCTTTTTTTTGTGACATGCTCCATTAACTTTTAAATTTCTATTCAAAATGTGTGAAATTGCACCATAATTCTATTCAGTCCAAACAAAGCCAAGGCAAATATTGCAAATAGAGAAGAGAAATTGAAACATTGTTAATCTGTATGTTTTCTCTAGGCCAGGTGCAATGGACAGAGCTAATTATTAACAGAGCGCTAAAACAAATTTCTACATTCAGTTTTATTTTTCACATCTCACAAGTGCATATTTACTAAATATAAGGGATAAGTAAGCATAATATTAAACATCCTAAGTGATAATTCCCTTTTAAATAATTAGAGTTTTCAAGTGTTCAATGAACGCTCCAAGCACCATAATCACTGCAGGACTTAGCTCATTGGCTGAGTGTGTCTGCTGATCTCTCTGTGTCAGTCACTGCATTACTGGGCTTAGCACAGGAGAGCTAATTGAACTTCCTGCTGAGGAACTTCTGGCTCTTGGGAGATTGTATCGGAGGTGGG